AGCAGTATATAAGTCTGCTATTGCTATTAAGAACACCTTCTGAACTCACCATTTTCATCAGCTTAGAAATGGGAAGAGATGCCTGGTAGATACTCCAGCTGAGCCATTTCTCAAACTGATCAATGGGCCTTTAGAAGCAGATGCCTGGTGTCCCAATACTAAGGACACTGGGATACCAGCAATCATTCCTAGGAGGAAGGAAGCAGCGAGCAATTTCTCCCTCTCCCATCCTGCAGCCCTGCTCAGAACAAATGCTTTTCTGTGGTGGAATATCAGCAACTTGAAACCGCTTGGGAGGGGGGAGCTTTCCCTCTGCTTCTTCCCAGACACATCACCAAAGTTTGTGCTCTGCTGGGCAGTAACCCTGATCGAGGCAGGCAATAAATCTGCATGAACAGCAACATGGGGGAATTCACAGATGTGCCCCCCCCACCTTCCAATTGCATCAGCTTTCAACTGAAAATGTTGACCATCCTTAACTTTTAGGCAATAGCCTGTCACCCATGTAGGGGGAGTGGGGGAAAGCCTCTGCAGTTCCCTTTTTAGGAATTAAAAGTTGATTTCATTTTCACTGCCTGCCAACAAAAGTGCGTATAGTCAACGCTACAGTTGCAATGGATGGCTGTGAAAGTTGGACCATAAGAAAGGCTGAGCGCCAAAGAATGGAGGCCTTTGAACTCTGGTGCTGGAGAAGACTCCTGCGAGTCCCTTGGACAGCAAGGCGGCCAAACCGATTAAACAGATGATGCCAAAGATGTGCATAATATCCTGGCTGTTCTTTCAAAAGCCAAACCAACGGATTCTTCAGTCGAGACTGTATCATACAGAGGGGGGGCGGGGGAGCCACAGCCACATATGAACGGCATGACCAATATCAGGGAGTGTTTTTACACACCACAAACATCTCTAAGATAACTGTGTAAGCCACTATAAGAACATCTTACCAGCGGCCCCATTTTTTTCTTCTCTCTCTACGTTGGTTGGCTCTTACTCTCTAGGATTATTTTGGCACTAAGTAGTAGCAAACAGAGTTTTTGGTCCACATTCATGATTAAGAGGTTGTTTCTAAAGCAGGCAGCCAGTGAACTTAAGTGGCCAGACAGTGCTATCAGCCATAAAAGTCACTTAGCCACAGATTTAATTTTATGCAATTTCCTAAAAAAAAGTTTTCCCTAAAGATTTTTGGAATTGCTGGAAACAGGAAGCAAAGGGCAACTGGGCCTTCAAGGAGTGAATTAAAAATGAGAGCCTTACAAAAAGGTTTCTCTCTGCTATAAATTGAGAGGACTCCCTGCCTCCCTGAAAAATTAGTCGTCATGGAAACTACACTAGTGAGGTCAGACAGATTTCACCTTTGCTGCACAGAGTCTCCATCAGGGCCAAGTAGTATAAATGTTATAAATTCCACACAGTATTCCACACTAGTTGCAGGGGGGGAAAAGTTTGACTAGAAGAGAGCCTGCGTGGTTTAAATTATTACTGTGTTAAGAGAAAATGCCTTTTCCAAATCCTGCTTCATCAAACTTAGGTAAGAGAGGTATTTTTTTTAATTACTAATTTTGGCCAATTCATCACCTATGGCCATTGCTAGTCAGGGAAAATTACCATGGGCATTCATACCCCTATTAGGAGCCAATCTGGTTTAATGCTTAAGGCTGTGATGGCGAACCTCTAGCACATGTGCCAAAGGTTCGCTATCACTGGCTTAAGTCATCAGGTTAGAAACCAGAAGGATGTGAGTTCTAGTCCTGCCTTAGTCATGAAAGCCAACTGAGTGACCTTGGGCTAGTCACTCTCTCTCAAGCCCACCCCACCCCACAAGGTTGTTGCAGTGGGGAAAATAGGAAGAGAAAAGAGTATTAGTGTAATGATTCCCCCTGATGCTTTCCAAGATAACTCTTCAGATGTCAGCTGGGGGGAGGAAGGATGAACCAGTTCCTGGCATGTTCGGAGGGGAGTTGGTCAATGCTCTAAGTAAACGTCAGAGAGTGATTTGGCTGAAACACAGCTACAGCAGGGCAGCCCTGAGGCATCAGGTGGGGTAAGCATGCAGCTGCAGTCGGTGAGGGATGAGGAAGAGGAACTGCCTTCTGCAACTAATCCAAGGACATGTAGGGGCAGAGAAAAGGCCAAAGCAGAGAAGGTCAGCCACATTACTTGCGAAGAGGCAGCCTTGCCCTTCTTGAGGGGCATCAAAAACTGGCTATTTAAAAACTGCATCAAAAACTGGCTATTTAGCACAGCAGAAAGAGGGGAGCGATGCTGGGAATAACGTGTTCATTCCCTAGCTGTGTGTTTTTTAGTTGTTGTGATTCCTGACTTGCTTTGGATTGACACTGCCACTTGATATGTGCCTCAACAAACCCTCTTGTGTTGTGGATTTAATTTTGCCTGGTGGATTTATTTTGATTGGAAAACTTTCAAGTGCCTTGTGGACTCATTGGCCATTGCTCTGTGGACTAGCATTGGTCTGCTGGTGGCTGGACTTAATTGGGATATTTCTGTTTTTTTGGTGATGGGAACTGCTGGGGCATATTAATAAACCCACTAAACCACGGCTATATGTATGTATGAGTGAGCGGCTCAGCACAATTACATATAGCAATAGCACTTAGACTTATATACAGCTTCACAATGCTTTTACAGCCCTCTCTAAGCGGTTTACAAAGTCAGCCTATTGCCCCCAACAATCTGGGTCCTCATTTTACCCACCTCAGGAGGATGGAAGGCTGAGTCAACCTTGAGCTGGTGAGTTTTGATCTGGCAAACTGCTGGCAGCCGGTGATCAGCAGAAGTAGCCTGCAGTACTGCACTCTAACCACAGTGCCACCGCAGTTCCTACATGTTTGCCACCTTGAGTTTTCTTACAAAAGAATAATAAAGGCGGGATATCAATTAAATAAACATTAAATCTTCCAGTTGGACTACTCTGGTGGCAGGTGTATTGCGATGCATGTAAAAAAGGTGGGTGGGGCTTTCATCGTCTGATCGCAACCATCTCCCTGATTGTTTTGACACCCTGCTTAGTGTTTATGCCCAACTTACCATCTTTGCAAGTCTTCTTATTCTCAAGGAGTTTCACGCCTGTGGGACAGGCACACTGATAAAAGGGCTTGATAGGAGACATCAAACACAGATGGGAACAGCCACCGTTATTATCCTTGCAGGGGTTTGTAGCTGTCAAATACAGAAAACACAGAGAAGTCTCCCTGTTAGTAGCAAACCTGCCTTATCAAGAGGGGAAAGGGTGAAAGATAAAATGAATATGGGTGCTGAACATCCTCCAAAGCGGTTCAAGGCAGACCCCATTACATGCTGTATCTGAACTGCAGGGGGTGGACATTTATGTACAGGATACGCGCCGCTGGATATTTATGTACAGTGGAACAGAAAGCCCTACTAGAACAGTGTCGTCCGGTGATAACGAACCAGTGGTGGAATGCAAAGCCTTCTCTGTGGGCACGCACATCGTTGCCAGCTAGCCTTCTGCCGCCGGCCACTTGGTCTTCACAGGCGCTGGAGTGCCAGAAAACGGCCTGAAAACTGCCCGAAAAAGCCCTCAAAACAGGCATGTGTGCATGTTCCAGTTTGGGCACTTGGTGCTGAAAAGGTTCACCATAACTGGTTTAGTCCATGAAAAAAATTGCTCTCTCTAGTTTCCTATAAATATAGGCCGAACCGCAGCCACCTCTATTCTTGGAGACCAACTAAGAGAGAAGATGCCTTCAAAATGAACAGAAAAGTTTCCTTCAGGAAGGATTCAATAGTCAACAGCGCCACTTGGGAAGAGAGAGTCTCTTGTGCATTTGTGAACAGGTAAACGTTTAATTTTTTTTTCTGGAATGTTCAAATATTCCAATAAGTAGAGAGAAACTTAAGATGGTCGTATTTCTTTATGTGGTTGGTCTATACCCATTTTTCAAATAATCCTAATGATCAAAATTGGGACAAGAATTTATTTCGCTAAGCAACGTGGTTAAGGAAATCGTGCCTAATTTTATAACCTTTCTTTCTTTCTTTTTCTTTTCTTTTTTTGTGGTTGTTATAATTGTTAAGTAAATTGTTGCAGCTGTTAGGTGAATAACACGATTAAGCAAATCTGGCTTCACCCACTGATTTATCATAATCTGCCAGTCGTTCGCTAGGAGACGAGCAGCAAACAAATTAAAAAAACAAATAAATAAAGTGGCAAATGATGATCATGTGACCCGAGACACTGCAACAATCATAAATACATGCCGGTTGCCAAGCGCCTGAATTTTGATTGCGTGACTATGAGAATACTGCAACAGTCATAACTGCAAGGATCCACTGCAAGTCACTTTATTCAGTTATGTTGCAACTTAGAACGGTCACTAAAAAACTGAATGTAAGTCAAGTACTGACTGTACACAATATTTAAACCGTTCAATGCATCGTTTTAAAAGTGACTATAGCTAAGTCATCTTTCTGCATTCCTTGACCATCAGATTTTGCAAGTATTCTAACTAAGCTCTTGTTCAACAGAGACTGGGAAGATAAATGCAGCATTTCTGAATTTTATTTTTCCTCTACACCTATATTCATCCAATAATAGAGGAAAAGACATCCATAGACCAATCTGTGGCTGTGACAAACTCTATTCAAAATAGGATAGCAAAAATGACTGAATTTGGGCATTTTTTCCTGTAATTTAAAGATCAAATTTAAAAATTTAAAAATAAATATACTAAAGACCAAGGCATTTGATCTTTCTGTCTGACAAATAAAATTAACTACACTTAACATACATTAAATTTAGCTGTTTCCTTTGTTCTTTTTAAGTCTTCAATTTCTTCTGTTTACTATTCAACTTCTTCAACCACAAAAATATTGCCTAATTCCCTCTCCCTCACCCCCAAAAAAGCACAGCGGTTAGGTACCTACACTGTATAAACTGTATATATGACAGTCTGAAAAACCCACAAAACAAATGAGAATTTCTACATTGGGCATTCTGGGAGCAGCAAGAGGAACTCACCACTGGGCTGCCGCTGTTGGCTGAAGACGTGGATATCCATGGGAGAAAAGATGTTGGAATGTATTTCACGCAGGTTCTGTCCAGTGTATTTGTTGCAGGCCAGAATGGAGCGAGTCGTCCAATCTGTCCAATACAGCGTGTCACCAAATAACGTCAGAGCAAATGGATGTGGCAGGGATCCTTTAATCACAGCTTGCCTGGAAATAAAATAAAAAATGGATTGCAGCATAAATTATCTCCCTGAATGTAGAGAAGGCCAGCATTTTACATCCTTCTCGAACCTTCCCTGCCCACCCTCTTGAAATCAAGATGGAAGTGTGAAATTTGCAACCTGTATCTTTTCTCCTTGAAACAGCTGAGAAGCCTGATTGCCTTCCTTTTAATTAATTTTCAAGTAGAATATTAGCCCCGGAATGAACTGAAAGAGTTAATTCATGAGTCTGATGGAACATTTCACCATTTAAGTCTTAACATTATTTTCAGAATATTAGCAATAGCACTTAGACTTACTGAATATACCACTTCAAAGTGCTTTTACAGTCCTCTCTAAGCAGTTTACAGAGACATCTTATTGCTCCCAACAATCTGGATCTTCATTTTACCAACCTCGGAAGGATGGAAGGTTAAGTCAACCTTGAGCCTGCTGAGATTCGAACTGCCAAATTGCAGGCAGCCAGCAGGCAGCGGAAGTAGCCTGCACTATTACATTCCAGCCACTGCGCCACCGCAGAATTAAAAGAGTTAATTAAAAGATTTAATTCATGAGCCTGATGAAACATTTCACCATTTAAGTCTTAAAATTTTGTTTAATATAATTTGTACAGATCAGTGTACAAGTAGACACAGTAATTCTTTAACGGGATCAGAGAGGGCATCTGTTGGCTTGCAATGCCACGAGACTGCAGAACCTAATCAGGACGACAAGCTTTTTTTCCACCACAATATAAATTAATTCCCACAAGCACACTGTGTCCACCACCGGAGGATTTCCCAGAATGGGTTCAAAAAACATCTAGATCACTCAAAAGCAAGCTCCGTTCAGCAAACTGTTTGCATTAGATAATGTTGTCCTCAGCTTAACATCCAGAATTTCCATCACTAAGCAAGGAGGTTGTTAAGTGAGTTGCACCCACTTTTATCATTTTTTTTTGCCCTGGTTGTTAAATGAATAAATGCAGTTGTGTTAAGTGAATCAGGCCATCATTACACAAGTCCAGTTTCTCCCATTCAGGGTGTTCAAAGATTGCAAATTGTGATCATGTGGCCTCAGGATGCTGCAACCATCATAAATACATGCCCAGTTGCCAAGTGCCCGAATTTTGATCACATAACTATGGCTTTGCTGCAATGATTGTAAGTGACAACCAGTCACAAGTCACTTTTTTCAGTGCCACTATAATTTCAAAAACCAATGATTGTAAGCTGAGGACTATTTGGATATACAGAAAAGATGATGGCCATTAGAACAGGAATATTCAATTGTCCTGGAAAGAAATCATGCTGGTTGTAACACTGTGTTTTAAAAGGGAAAATGATTATCAGCGTTTAGGAATGAGATTCTGATGGAGATCATTGAATTAGATTTCAATAAATATTTAAGATTTCACCCAGTCAAACTCTTTTTCCCTTCCATTTTAGTAACTGCACAAATTGTACGGATGCTTATTTGCAAATAAACCTTGCTGAGTTCTGAATTTAAGTCTGTGCAACAATGTGCCTGAAATGATGGTATTTCAGACACATTTTAATGCTAAGAACTTGCTACAGTCTTGTATTTATAAGCCAGCTGTGGAATGGAGTGGAATGGAATGGAATAAACATAAGGGACCTTGAGGTCTTCTGCTCAGGCCGGAAACCTTATACTATTTCAGACAAATGGTTATCCAACATCTTCTTAAAAACTTCCAGTGTTGGAGCATTCACAACTTCTGGAGTCAAGTTGTTTCAGTGATTAATTGTTCTAACTGTCAGGAAATTTGTCCCTAGTTCTAAGTTGCTTCTCTCATTGATTAGTTTCCATCCATTGCTTCTTGTCTTGCCTTCAGATGCTTTGGAGAATAGCCTTCTTTGTGGCAACCCCTGAGAAATTGGAACACTGCCATCACCCCGAGTCCTTCTTTTCATTAACCTAGACATACCCAGTTCCTGCAACCGTTCTTCATATGTTTTAGCCTTCAGTTTTAATATTAATAGAAAAACATGGACTAATGCTAAACGTAACTGAAATAACCAGTTATTAATCTTAAATGCTCTATGAGTTAGGAATACAGAATACTTTTAAAACTTCTTTATTTAAATTTTGTTTAGCATTACATTCTATTGGACTTTTAAAAAATTATGTTATTTTAAAAAATATAAATCCCTACTGTTGTTGTATCTCTAAATATAAGTTGTTTTAATTTTTCTCCTCTCAAACACTAATTTGTTCTAATCAGAAATAACTGAGTGCAAATATTCAGAAAGAGTTTACCAGTAAATGGTGAGCCGCTCCTAAAATTTTATTCTGTCCTCCAACATACAGTACAGAGAATGCAAAAACACTCATCACATTAGGAAGAATGTTTCTCCAGAGACTATAAAGTGAATTTAATTTCCACCAGGAATACGTTAACTATTCATTAGGGTTGTTCCTGCAAGGTGAAATGAGGATTAATTGATTCCTCTTCTTTAGTAGGCAAACATAAGCCCTGCATTTCAGTCCTTCTGGAATTCAGTATTGTCAAACAACTATTTGAAAAATGCACTTGTTCTCCCCGAGAAAAAGAAAACTTTGACAAAGCAAATCCCGTGTCCTAAGTTCATGACTTCTTTTTCAGTCACTATTCTGATACTTCTCTTTTCTTATGGGAAATTAGATTACTGCATATCATTTCTGTTGAATTATGGCACCATTGCAGCAAATAAATAAGTAGGTCCCATTTTAATGTCTGGCTATTGTACAAATTATCTATGGCAGTGATGGCTAACCTTTTTCTAAAGGCGTGCCAAAATTGTGTGTGCATGATCGCCCCCCCCCCAACATGGGGGGAGTTTTTGCTCTCCCTAGGCTACAGAGGCTTTCCTGAAGCTGGGGAGGGCGTAAACGGCCTCCCCCAGCCCTCCAGAAGGCCAAAAATCAGCTGACCGGGGCATGCAGGCGCGCCGGAGCTGAGGGCTGCCATACCGGCAAATATGGCTCTGCGTGCCACCTGTGGCACGTGTGCCATAGGTTCGCCATCATGGATCTATGGGGAAGAACTATCACTGATTCAATCCCATTGTAGTAGCTATGGATTTACAGCCATCCAGAAGCCAGGGTGTTCCATCTTTAGCCTTGGATGGAATAGCAATAGCAACAATACTTAAGATTTAACAACTGCTTCCTAAGTTGAACTGGTTTTTAATATGTTTCTCAATGCAATTCAATGACCTATGGAGTTCTAGATTGCCTGTGGCCTGGTGACTTGAGAGACCATTCTATCTCCTGAGGCTTCAGCCAAGCCTGTTTGATCCAACAGCATTGTGTCACTCCACATCCCTTCAATAAAGCAATGTCTCCTCTTGGGAGCCTAGAAACACGTCTTCTCTGTCATGTTTCCTGCCCTCTGGAACGAGGTTCCCCCATGTGGTTACCGCCCTCTTGCCATTCTAGAAAGCTTTAAAGACCTGGCTGCTCTCCCAGGCCTTGGGGGTTGAATAAATTAAGTTAAATAAATCCATGCATTCATGCATACAGCCTGAACTTTTAAGTCATTGTACAATTTTCCACAAAGCCAGGAAATGAAAAGAACCATTAAAATAGAAGACTATTTTGCTGAAACACGTAAATGCAAGCATTTCAGGGGAGACCTCACAAAATCGGTCACAACTGCCCAACCTTTTGTATCCTATGCAGGAACTGAGTTGTAAAGCAAAATATGGTAGCCTGCATTCTGGAATTACAAAGCTAATAAAAGGGCTGGGATTTATTTGCAAATAATGTTTCAGGAACAAAGAAGTCTTTTCTTCCTTTGTTTCTTGGTCCTCTCAAGTCTCTTTTCCTTCCTCCTCAAGCTGTTCCTTAAAATTCTGCAATTTGTGCATCAGTGTTTATATCACACTGCCTCTAGTGTGTGACCATATCTAGATGGTCCTAGTTAAGTAGCACCCTGCTTAGTCATCGCACAGAACTTGGATCCAGACCTGAAGAGACATTGCCACAAATATGCAGGAACTGTTACCTAAAGGAGCAAGAGCATTTTTTTTAAGTCCAGAGACTCAAGATAGTATTAAAAAGTGGCTCAGGAAATGCCTTCCAAATTAACTGGAGGAGGTGCATGAGACTTGCAAAATTCTCTCACTATAGCCAAATGAAAGTTTTAGTTCTCCTGTGCTGGTCTGCCTTACCCAGAAAGAATCCCTCTGAGGATTTTAAGATTATTAGCTAGACTGGGAACTCAAAAACAACATTCTGAAAGAAGACACTGATTCATTCATTGTTAACTGAACTGCATTAATTTCTCTAGGACAGGGGTGTCAAACTCAAGACCCGTGGGCAGGAACTGACCCACAAGGTGTTTAGATCTGGCCCACAGGGTTGCCCTGTAAATAGTGAAGGATCAGTCCACGGTACCTCTGCCAATGAAAACAGAGCTCGGGAAGGCTGTAGGTGACCCCCCTCTGCTCCATTCTCACTGGCAAAGGGTTGCAGGCACTGTTCCCTCTAAGATGTGCGGCTGCACGGCCGTGTACGTGGCAAGAAAACACCGCGCAGCGGTTTCTAACTGCTGCGCAGCGATTTCTGTCACAGGCTCCGGAAGCTGAGGGGCCTCAGAAAATCTAGGATTAACACGGGCGTGGGGACGGCGGCAGGAGCTTACGCAACACAGCCAATCTCCTAGGTCCTCCTAGGCGTCGGCTGCGCCGCTCATTACCGTGTTCAGCAAAGAAAACGCGGGGAAGTCCTTTGTGGGCGGCCAATCCTAGCCATTTGCGCCCGGCGCTGCAGCTGAAGTGAACCCCCAAAGCCCCCGCTGCCACCAAAATCTCTGCTGCCGCCTCCTCCTCCTCCTCCAACAGCACTGCCGGATTTGCCACCCGACACTGAGGCTGAGGTGAAGCCGCCAAAGCTCCTGCCGGCACCCCCACCCGTGGCAGTGGTGCCTCCCCCTCCACACGGAGCACCTGAGCTGGGCCCCGTGTTATCCCTCCCCCTCCTCCTCCACTGTGCTTTTGAGGC